TGGTCGTCAGTAGAACGTGAGGAACCTCCTTCTACCATGTAAATAGTTCTTTAAAGACCCAGCAGTCATTCGAAATAGAAATAAAGTTTCTAAGAGACGTTTTTGGAACGGAAGATATAGTTAAAGAGACCCACGAGAATTACAGCCCAATAGTGCGTGAATTTTAATTCCATAGTCCAAGCCGGTGTGTGCTAGATTATCCGATTTGGATCTGTTAGACCTCTTCTTGTGAAGAAATGTAATGTGACTCACGCTGATGAACCAGTAAGAATTGAGCAGTTAGAAAGGAATCTTCGCCTAATTATGTGCAAAATAATGCCGCCTATAATAACACAAGTTTTTCAAAACTTGATTGAGAGGATGGTTACAGGCTTCGAACTAATAAAGCCAAATATTGATTTTTTTTACTTCAAAACAAAATTTTGACATACATTTCCTTTTCTTCACCATATTTCATCTGCTCATTCGACCTAACCTAACATTTCTATTTCTATTGATGACACTCATCTCTTCTATTTCATCAGCATAAGCTTACTGGAGCTCTACGTGCCGGATAGTCATTATGAGAAGACCAGACGTCAGAAGAACGCCTTCGAATTCTCTGTGAGATTCTCGCGTAATTTTCTCTATCCCTTAAAGGGCATGGTAATGCAAACACTTTTTTTTTTTTTATTTAAAACATTTTCAATTTTACTTATTTGGAAAACACCATTTTTGATAGATCGAAGATCTCCGTGTTGTTTCGGTAGAGCAACTCTGCAGTGCCGTCTCCAATGAGGCTACACAGCGTGTACATAACATATTTACGCTCATCCATCAATCACTGCAGACATACTACAAACAACTCCGTTACTTTCTGCTCGATCAGGTGCCGCAAAAGCTGAACACGCTCATCGAGTTGGCCAGCACCACAGTGAGCATTTGTTTGGAGAAGCAAATCTTCGATCGCAACGATGCAATAATCGAGTGTCTCAAAGAACGTTGCGCCAAGTTTCTCGGTTTCTTGGAGGATATGCACGAGGAACGTTTCCTTACGGCACGCGATAATTACCGTAAAGCAAGTTTCGACAAGGTGTTTTCACATTCCTTTCTACAACAGATTTCAATTAATATATTATTCTATTTCTAAAATCACTACACTTCCAGACTGCCTCCAATTACAGCTTGAAAATGTTCATGAACGATCTGAATATGTACGAGCCGAAGCTGGTGCCGAAGAATCACTACAATCACCGTCGCAAACCGAAATTGCGACGTGTGCTGAAACCGAGCACAACAACAACGAAGGCAAAATCAAACACCGAAACTGCGCCCGTACCGCAAACATCCCAAATGGTAATCACTAAACCGGATGGCGATCAAATTTCCACGCATATCAACGATTTGGCAAGGAGTTCGGTAAGTTTTGGATATCTCGACTGCAATAAAACTTTGCCCAATTAATGCTTTTTTGCCACCACGTAGGGTCTCTTTCAAAGCGCACAGAATATCGCTGTGGATCCGATTGCGCCACCAGCCGAACCGAGCATGAACTCCGAGGAATTGCCGACACTTAACAAGGCGCTCATTGAGGCACTACAAACTGTGACAAAGGAACAAATGCGTCAGGTGCTGCAGCCTATTATGCAAACTCTCGGCTCGGTGATCGAGAAGAAGGTGAGTACACAAACATTATTTACCGTTAATATATTTCGGGTCAATCTTTCCGCACTGTGCATGACTGCAAAGTTTTGCATATAGCCAAGCCTTTAACCCTTTAACTCTATTATGTATACTCGTATTCTAGAATATAAGACTCGAATACTTAATGCCAAAGTCAACGCCAACGTCGACAACCGTTAAATACTCATTTGAGTTGTGTGAATCAGATGTCGCAACCGAGCAATAAGCTAAATGCATAAAAACGAATTGCAACGACCGCAAAAAAAAAATATTCGAAATTCGTAGTGTAGTAGTAAATATTCCAGTGTTACATAATTCAAAATCGTATTTGTGAAAAGTACTCAAGAAACAATTATTCAGCAAACAACGAAAGTGGCAGCAACGTCGGTGAAAAACAAAACGTCGAAAATGCAACAACACTATAAATGCATTGATTCATAGAGTGAATGGAAATCGGCTGTTGAACTCGTTCTAAGTATGAGTTCTTTATCAAATATGTTGTCTCTTCAAGCGTTTGACAATTTTTTCCTCCAAAATTTACCCCGTTTCGAAATTGTATGTTGTTTTTTTTTTTTTGTAATTTCGTGTTCGAAAATAAATTTACGGTGAAAAGTTAAGTTCCCTTTTTTTGCCGAGGCCCTGCAAAACAGAAAAGTTGAAATCCGGTTGAGATATCTCTCCGAGGGGAAGGAAATTATATTTGGCAAGAATCTTTATTTCGAGTGAAGTCTATTTATTAAATAAATATTTGAGGCGGTCTTTTAAAGTGGGTTTCAAGCTTGCTAGAAACGCAATCATAAGTATGAAGAATCGGAAAGGAGGGAACTGTTATATAGTAGGCAGCATTCCGGAAGATATTTCATTTCTGAAGAAGTAGGAAGTGAATCTTCAAGGCAAGTTTTTAATGCGAAAGCATAACAAGCTGTGCATTTTAAGACGGAGCATTTTCTAAAATTTCGTGAAGATATCTCGTGAAATGAAAAAGTTTTCCACTTAAGTTAACCATTGAGTTTGATGGCAGCCACATGCTAGAATGATCCGATCTAAAAAAGTTCTTTTGGGATTGCAGCATAGCCTCTAAATAACAATGTATACAAAATTTCGTGAAAAAGTTTTCGGTACAAACACTTTATCCGGGCATTAAGATCACATGGCAGCTTGTGCTCCACTGGTCCGGTATCGACAATTCCGGCAAATGAGCAGCTTCTGAGGAGAAAGGGGCGTCTGCAACATTCCAGATCGACTTAGGAACTAATTCGCGTACATACAAACAGACGGACGTAGCCAAATCGACTCAGCTCGTCACGCTGATCATTTATATATAAACCTTATACGATCTCCGACGTTTCCATCAGCGCGTTACATACTTCATGTTAAATTTAATATAGCTCGTTCAGGGTATGAAAGACTTATCAGATATCTGGATTGCAAACACTTTTGAATATATTTTCTTCGTTTTGAAAATTGATACCAGTTCAAAATACTATAAGGAACCAAATTCTAGTCCAATTCGCTAATACTTCATACAGAGAAGGCCCTTTACTTTTGGTGCCATCCATCAGAATTTGAGTATTTACTTTTTCCTGTTGAATAATATCCTTATCCATCCCTTCTTTCAAAGTGAAAACAAAATATAGACAAAAACCTCCAGCGATGTCTCTGCACCAGGCATTAAAAAAGGTGGACATGATTAAAGAAAAAAAAAAATCCTACGAAAGAAAATTTATTTCTCCGAATTACCCACTCAGTACCAAATAAATATTAACGAAATATTACAATATGGATATCAAATTAAATATTTTCAAATTTATGTTAAAAAAGTATTGATATAGGCTTGGAATTTTTATACAAAAAATTAATAAATTAACCCAACACACTCAGAAGGGGTTTAAAGGGCTTAGAAAATACTGTTTCGGGTTTGCTTTAGAGAAGGATTGCCACCTACGTTAATTGTATATACAAAAAGTTTGTAACAAAACATCAAACTAAAGAGGTTTAAGATATGCATATTTCTGATGAAAACATTTTGGGTAGGGTTGCCACCCTTTACTCTATTAAAAGAGTTCTGCATTGACTGAAACAATTAGCAGTCCGGTGGTACAAGGTCAGTGCTATTTGATAATCAAAACTTCCCAGCCAAGCTCTCTCAGGTTTTGTCCAATCATCAAAGACGTGTGTGATCTAAAGTAGTCCTGATGGAAGATGTAGCCCTTTCTGTTGATCACTTCTGGCCGTTTTTTTTTTTTCAATTGCTTGCTTCAATCTCATCAATTCTTGACATTAAAATGTAGAATTAAACGTTCGATTAGGCTGGAGCAGCCCATAGTGGATGACTCCTTTCCAATCTCACTTAACAAAATAACCTTTTGATGTGACAATCCTGGCTTTGCGACCATTTGTTGAGCTTCACTATGACTTTTTTCGCACATTATTGTCGTATTTGATCCACTTTCCGTCTCTGTTACCACTCGTTTCATTAAATCTGTCACAACAATCCGTGTGGTACCCAAACAGCGAGCTTCTTTTTGCAGCCAGCCTTTTTTAAATAGTTCAAAACCGTTTGATTATGAACGTTAAGTTTCTTTGCGATGTCATGGCTTATGTAACAATCCGGGTCACTCTTTTTCATAATTTCATCAAGTTTTTCAACGATAGGTCGAACTGATACAGCATCCTCTCTGTGAACTTAGCAAATTTCATTGGTGGCTTGCGTGGCACTCTTCGCTTACTTATACAAATATTTGAAAATATTGACATAATACGAAAGACTTTTTCGAACACCCAATAAGTCCTAGCGGGTCATAAGTTCTTGAAGAGACTTGTAATATTTAGATCGATGCGGCTTTATTAATAAAAAATATAAATTTCTGGAAGGTTTATATTTTCTTTTTTCAAAATTGAATATCCGTATATATTAAAAATTCCCTCTTTTCAAACGTCTGCTGTTTGTTTTGTTGTTGATTTTGTTTATTTATTATTATTTTAGATTCTTTACATGGTCATGCATATGGTGATACATTTTCAAGTATAATTTATATATGTATATGTAAATAGTAAAACTTTCAATTAACTTAATTTGGAAATATTACGAAAAATTGTTCATGCGACATTTGTTTATATATTTGTAATTATTTACAGTTGACAAACCGACTTAACGTTAAAAAACGCAACTAATTTTCAAAAAAATTTAGCCAAATATTATTTCTATAAGTTTGAAAACAGCTGCTTTTATTAGCGTATATTCGGTAAACTTATAAAAATTGTTTTCGAAAATTAGCTTAAATATTTTTGAAAATTAATTACGTTGTTGTTGCCAGTTTTGCTGTCAGTTTAGCTTGCTTTTAAAATATTTGCAAAATGGCTGGAATGTTGTTAGCATTTTGTGTTTATTTTTTGGAATTTAAGTAGTCCAGTGTGGTTGAATATGCTCATAACTCAACACAATGTTGCTGCATAACAGTTATAAACTAATTCTACGGTTTCGAGGCAAATTTGCAAAATACTAATTTTGGGAGGCGAGTATTAAAGTGCTGATATTTTATATAGAGAACTGACTAAAAAGTAGAACTTTCGAATTTAAATTGAGACGAAATTTTTTGTTCTGATTAGTTGAGTTTGGAAGAAAATGAAAATCGCAAAAATGCAAAAAGATAAATTTGTCACTTAGGAATATACGAACCAATGCAATTTACATGATTTTTAGTAAAAAAAAGTCTTAGGAATATAAAAAAAAACAATTAAGTATAATTTTTTTCTTTCTCCAAAAAAAAAAAAAGAACGAGGAAAAGTGGAAGAAAGGAAATTTCTTAAAACGAATCAAACGCAAATAGAAGCTTGTGGAATAAATTTGTCTGCAGTTATTGTGTGAAAAAGCAACAACAAATAATTGCCGGTTTTTAGGTTGGAACGTATGACATTTGTATAATGCCAGGGAGCTTTAATAATGCCAAGGAGCTTTTAGTGAGCTTTTAATGCAGCAGCCCGAAAGAACGACACACAGCAACCACTTTGTCCGTCCGGCAGTAAAACATTTCTCGGCGTGTTTGAGTGTGTGTGTGTGAGGGTGTCTACAGCGTTCGGTGTGGATTGTGTTGTGTGTGTTCATGTGAGTGTGTTGTATAGTACATACATACATATTTATACTTTTGATTAACTGAAGACTTGCAATCGTTTCCTTATGCGTAGATTCCATTCCTGGTATTCCTGGTTAGTAGCGCAGCAATTAGAAAAACAAAATCAATTCTATTTTGCATATAAGATTCTTCGCTTTCGTTGCTTGCATTGTATATTATTTCACTTTTATCCCATTTTTGTTATTTGAGTTGCCTTTTAAAAACTAAATTTTTCAGGTAATTAAACGCTTGCGCTCGCCGGCGCAATCTATCTCTCTCTTTCTCTGTTTTCATCTGTGTCTCTCCCCTTCTTGCTTTTGTCTTTTTATCCATGGTCCTTAGTATTCATTCACATTATTTATTATTTCAATTTTCTTCCTTACGGCTGGCTTCTAAGCTGAGCACTCCGTGCACACCGGTTTGTTCTCCTCGACTGCGAATATGCTCGCCGTGATGGGGTTGGCGCATTTCTGTCATCGAAAAAAAAATAAACATAAATACCATTTACTCCCTTGTATTTGAGAGTGGCCACTCACCTTGCATTTGAAGCAGTCCCTATGCCATTTGGAATTGAGTGCCACAATCGCGTTTTCTGTTATGGGTTTGGCGCAGCCGGCGCATCGTGCCGCGAATAATTCCTCAAAGTCTGTCTTGCAGTAGGCGCGTCCATCGCGCTCATAAAATGATGTGCCCACCAGTGGCTTCTGACATGGGCCGCCGCACACGAAGCAATCTTCGTGCCAAGTCTGACCGAGTGCCTTAATTGTGCGCTGCAAGCGAACAAAGAGAAATTATTTATAATGAAAAAATGGAAAATATTGATTCGAAATCTAAAATTGGCAATATATTCTGACAGAGTAGGGATCCAAAAATACTGTCCGAGATCTGCAACTCTGCTATCGAAAAATAAGAGAAGATTACCTATTAACATTACGATATTGAGGCTTCCCACCCCACTGGTCAAAATATTTATGTTCAATCAACGCATATTAACCATATGAAGATTGAAGGATCCTACCCTATCCTATCCTATCCTAGAACCCAGAGAAGTTCGATGTTCGCTCTTAAATGTATTGAAGACGTAAGGCTTAACTTCAAAAGTTCTCAAGTCAATCAATTTTTAATTTCCTATTCTTACTTTCATTCTCCGAAAGCCATTTTTAATTAACAGAAGTCATTCTAAACCGTCATTGGTTTTGAATGATCAAAACTTATCTACTCCCAAGATCCTTTTATTTGGTACATACATAAATCTCATTTTGTTATTCTGTCCTAGTTCGAAACCAAATTTTCTACTCATTACTGCAACCCAGATACATAGGTTCTCATTAACGATTCGATTTTAAGACAAAATATGACAAGATCTTATTCATACGATCTTATTAAGGATACTTATTAAGGATGTTCCATTTTGAAGTTCCTGCTTTTTTTAAGTAAAAAATATAGAAACTTCAAATGTTGGTGGAGTGGAGTGTTCATTATCATTCGAAAGAACATTGGTTTTCATTCAATTTGATGGTTACGTTCTAATCGGCATCATTTTTGAAGAAATATGGACCGATGATTCCAACGGCTCACAAACCACACAAAACCGTTTTTTTTCTGGATGAAATGAAAGGTCTTGAATCTCTTCAGTTACCCTTCGTCCCAAATGCGTGATTATGCTTGCTTACATACCAATTGAGCCACAAATAGGGCTCGAAAACATTGAATCTTCTGGGAACTTCTCGCTAGGGAAACCCGAGTGGCTTCAGTTCTTGCATTAGCTTCATTTTGAAGGCTTTCAATTTGAAATTCCGACGCAAAATGCGTTCCATACGTCAGTTCCAGTTGCTGCGAACGGCGCCGAATCGATTCTCCATGGTCTTCGTATGCACTCTCAGCTACGACTGCTTTATTTTCTTCACTACATGCTGGACGTGAGTCTATCCGGTCGAATATTATCCAATAATAAATGCTGAGTCTCAATATCGTCTTTATTTTGATCCGATAGGACGTCATGTCTTCAGAACGCAAAAGATCTAAAATTCCTGTATCATAATTTAATAATGAAATCGATATTACCGTGTTCTAAGAATTTCGGTGGATTCACCAAACTACTCAGTCATGCTTAATTTACTAGCTTTCAACGTGCAACGAATATCGAAATTAAAGAATCGAGATCAGCGGATATCCACACCTATATTGATTTCGTGTAATATTTATGTATATATAATATATATATATATTATTATTATATATGTATGCAAGCAAATAAGTAACATAAGCCTGCATATACTGAACCTGCACTCATATTTGCATACAAACCTATTTCAGTTATCAATCAACGCTGCGGTGACGTACAACACGCGCTTACTCAGCCTTGATTTTACCAACAAGTATTGTTGTTTTTATACTAGTGGCTATATGAGAACTTCATTCAACCAAGTGCTGACGAATTCAATCTGTCTAAATAACAAGCAGAAGACTCCCACACAAATCGAAATAACCGAATAGTCTGCCCACACTGTAAGCCTGCCGCGCAAGCGCGCGTGCTGACCGCCATGTGGTCATTTAAATACACATTTATATACACACATCTGTACATATTTATACGCACATATATAAGTATATGGTATATATAAAACATTTGCAACTGAATGTATGCGTGTGTGACTTTATTGCTTGCAGACGCGGCTATAAATGACAATTTTTATTTACTTTTTATTTTCAAGTTCATATTTATTCCTTGCTATTCTATTTCAAATATTTTCATGATTACGCGCACCCAGCAACGAACGCCAAGCGATGACAAATAATAACAATAAGAACAAAACTAAAATCAGCATTTGGCATAAAGCATTCATTCGTGTTTGTTATGGAAGATGCTGGGGCTGATCGGTTTGCCTTTGCTCTGAGCTTATTACGGTATAGGTAGCAAATGTGATATTTATTGTGCTGGCGGGAGGAAACGCCTCGGTGAGGCATGATGCGGTCTACGAACCGCAACCACGTCATTTCACATGAGTCGACAACTGGCTTGCAAATTCTGCAGCAGCATATACATACATGCATAAATAAATTCATTTTATACAATTTCATTTGTTCTGTGTTCAGGTGCATACCCTATAGGAATATTGGAAAGAGAACTCAACAACAGAAACCCAAATGAATTATTAATACACTGAAACCCCATAAAAGTCTGTAAAATTAGTTGCTTTGAAAAATTTTTTCTCAAAAATATATTTCGATGTTCTACATTGTCTAAGCAGAGCTGGCCTTTGTTAGAAAAATAATTAAATATATTTGTAGAAATTTGCTGGGTTAGGTTTTAACTCACATTTTAGGTCCTAACCAAGAATACTAAACTATTTCTGTCCAGATGTAGGAATAATTTTGTCGAGGACCTTAAAAAACTTCACCATGCCTAGATAAACCTTTTTTTGATTTATGGAGCAATATGTTTCGGAAGTTTGAAGAAATAAAAAACATTTAAGAAACTGTATCGCTGCTTATGGCGTCTACTGAGAGAGGAAAGTGCAACTCTAGACCTCCAAAATATATATTTTTCTGGTCGCTAAAGAAAAATTTTGTATATTTCGAGATACTACAATGTCTTTGTTGTTGTAGAGAATGATACTGAAGTAATTTGGAGGCATGGTGCCGAGTTTACAGTCATTGACCGGTTATAAATTTGGGTCCGTTTCGCTGCGAGATACTACCATCATAGTTAATCTTCGAAAAAAGGAATAAAAAAAATGAATTATTATTAAATCATTTCATCTTATATACACAAAGTTCATTTAAAGTTTCCGTAAATTTGAATTCTTATCTCAGATTAGACACCAAATTAATTTTGCTCGAGTTCGCACACTGTTAATGGTCTACAATGAAATGGTTGGTTCGTTACTAGTTAAGTGAATACAAATTTTGCTCTATCGCTAATACCAGTTTAGACTGAAATCCGTCATGGCTTCCCTCGAATGTAGCGCCAATTGACGATTGTCTTTAACCCCAAATATTTTGAAAAATGTAGGTAAATTTACTGATATTCAGAATACTCAACATTCCAATAGGGTAATATTTAACGGGTCTGTTATTTACTTCCAGTTATAAAACACCTTTATATACATATATTTACGGAATATATGTATTTGCTTCGCAAGTCAAAGCGGACAAAATCGAGTTAAAACTTAATCGGAAAAACTTAAGTGGGAAAAATTTCACTGTTTCTCTCAAAACTCAATCTATATCACATAAATTAACGGTATAACGCTTGTATCGCTTGTTGTCACCTAAAATGTAAAGTAACGTAACACAACTTTTCAGGAGAAAAAGCCTTTATGCTCCGCCTCTCTCGTTTTCATAACAGTATTCTTATTGAAAAATAATTTAACTTGGCTATAACTTGGTTATATGGATATGATGTTAGAAATAGAAATATTTGTAGACATATGTATGTTATATTTTGTAGTGGATCCTAATCAACAAAAACACAATTTCAATGCTTTTAATGATTTGTTTATTGTCTGTTCGGTGGCGACATGGTGTTTATCTTTAAAATCAAAAAAATCGAGTTATGCTTAACAGCTGTTCATATTCATATTTACATATTTATATATACTTTATACATAGCTTTGCATGTATATAATTGCATTTGTTTGTTATTTTCCGCGCTATCAACTGCTGCTTGGCTATGCCTCAGTAATAAATTCTAATTGTTAGGTAAACATATTATTCAGTTTTTTTTTATTATTTACCACAGTAATTGCGCTGTCGGAATGAGTCACTGCTTTTTTTATTATATATGTATATAGTATTATGTAAAGCTTTAAAACGCAAATATTTTTTATAAAAGTCAACGGTCAGCAATTTAAGTCACTTGAGCTTTAGAATAACTATTTGATAGGCGCTAAAAACGTGAATACATACATACAGACAAAAGGAGAGGTATGCGCATATACAAGATATAAAAAATAAGTATCTAGTCTAATTGCTTTTTGATAGTGTTAGAAAATTTGTACAAAAAAAAAAATTATAATCGCAGATTAGTTTGTTTCGTTGTTTTCTATCGAAAACGTGACACTATTTTCTCTGGTCACAGAGTACTACTGGCTAACTAATACTTATACATATAATATATGTATAAACTAGGGTCGAAGACGACAAATATAATAAATTACTAACTTTCTTCAATTTGTATACACAAACATAGCTGAATGTATGATAAACTTCTCAATATCTTAGTAGTAATTTCGAAAAATTATTTATTTTATTTCAAAAAAGTTTTTTTCGATTGTCATTCCAAAGAGTCTTTTGAATTGAGCGTTCAAGACAACTTTCTGGATTGTTAATATATTCAAATGTTTTCTCTTCTTTCGATTATGTTTTATATAGAAAGTGTCAAAGCGATCAAACTTAGATAGACCCCCACAAGTTAAGATAAAATGAATGAAGGAGACGAAAATCTGGTCGCTGTTGGAATTGTTTTGACTTTCAGCAAAAACTACATAATAAGATACAACTGTAAAACACACATCTTGAAAAGATCTTAAAAAAGTATTTTCAAATACAATCAGAACTTGTCGTTATTCAAAGTCTGAACCGTGTATGCGAATTTTCGTTACCAATCATATATGTAATTTATGTACTATATTTAGTTTTAATGAGAAATATACAGAATACATTAAATTTTCCATCATGCTTTTAACGTCCGGAAGGAAATTTGGGAGACCCCGTAAATACTATACCAAACACTATATAAACGATCTGTGCCGATTTTCCATGCCCG